ACCGCAGCTCAGAATACTGCTGCAGAGGAGGAGGAAGAGAGATGACTTGACTGACTTACTGAACGACTTGACTGACTGAATGACCTGACTGACTTACTGAATGACTTGACTGACTTATTGAGTGACTTGATTGACTTACTGAGTGACTTGACTGATTTACTGAGTGACTTGACTGTAATAATATTATTATTATTATTATTATTATATTATTATTATTGCTGAGAAGAAAAAGAGAATGATTTCCATGGAATTAAAGCATAAAATCATAGATAAACAAGCGAGGTGTCCAGGTTTTGGGTTGAGGGGGAAGAGGGAGGGGAGAGCTGGCTTGTAACTCAGGGCAAAAAATCGACCAAGGGATGGCTCACATCTCAAAAAACTCGTAAGTTGGGACACTCATAAGTCAAGGTTCCACTCTATACAGTTGAAGAATAACCTGAGGACTCCTGTTATTTATACTTTTTTATATGAAGCCCAGAATTCTATTAGCTTTATTGCAAACACTTTTGCACTATTGTCTTAACTTTAGATTACTAACCAGAACTCTACAGCTTTTTTTACATTCAGAGTGATTGAGATGTCCATTATTAAGTTCATAAGTTCCATGGTTATTCTTCTTTCCCAGGCTTAGAACTTTGCATGTGTCTACATTAAACTGCATTTGCCACTTCTCCGACCACTGCATCAACCTATTCAAATGTTCCTGTAGTGCTCTATTGTCATCAGAATTAATACAGCATATTTTGGTGTCATCAGTAAACTTGCTTATGTCATCATTTATTCCCTTATCTATGTTGTTTATGCATATTTTGAACAACAAAGGGCCCAGCACTGACCCCTGTGGAACAATGCTTGTGATGTGTCTCCACTCTGATTTCTCCCCATTTATGCAAACTCTATTGCCCATCTATCAACCAGATCTCTATTTATGAAAAAATTTCCCTCCTAGTCCATGTTCCTCTACTTTCTTCAACAATCTCCAATGTGAAACACTATCAAAAGCTTTACTTAACCCATAAACTGTCCAAACATAGATCTTTGTCCATGTGCATTGCGCTCAGATCGTAGATCTACGTTTTTGTTTTACATAAGAAAGCATGTACATCTACATCCTGAGAGCTACGCACGTGGACGCAGATCTATGTTTAGACAGTTTAAGGGTTAAGTCCATTTACACAATATCATATTCATTAACATGATCCACCTCTTCAAATACCTTAGCAAAAGAAGTTGGTAAACTTGTAAGGCAAGAATGTCCCTTTGTAAAACCGTGCTGAGATTCATTGATCAATTTGTCTTTCAAGGTGGCTCTGAATAGCCTCAGCTATTCCCACAATGGAGGTTAGGCCAAATGGTCTATAATTCACAGCTAATGGCCTGTCTTCTTTGTAAATAGATATCACATTTATAATTTTTCACTTATCTGGCACTATACCAATTTGTATTGATATATTGAAAAGACTAGCTAATAGTCTGCTAAGCTCTACCATACATTCCTTTATAATCCTTGAGAACAGTTTAACAGGGCCCAGGAATTTGTTTGGTCTTAACTCTTTCACTGTTGAGTCCCCCGATCTGAGAACTGCTCTCACTATCCAAGAATTGAAAAAAAAAAAAAATTCTTATGAAATGGTAGAGAATCTTCTTCCAAAGGTAATGAAACCAAAAGTATGAAATTTGATGGAAAACTTACAGAATTATGCTCTCACAAAGTTAGCAGTCGTGGCAATTTTTAATCATCGGCCATTTCACCCACTTTGAGCCCTATTTTCAGATAATTCCATTGTTCCAGTCGACCAAACTCATAACTTTTTCACTAGTATTCCTTCTATTCTATCAACTGAGTACAATGGAACCTCAAATTTTGAACGTATCGGTTATCGAACTCTTCGAAAATAGAACCCTTTTTTCAAACCAACTTTGTCCCTATTATCGAACTTGCCCCTATTTTCGAACCGCCGGGTACCAGACCTGTCCGGCAGCCCACTCTGTCCGTGTCCCCACGTAGGCGCCGTGAGCGAGTCTGGTTTTGTTGATGCTTGAGTGAACACTAACCTACGCTCTCATTCAAACATTTTACGATTATTTCATTGTGTTTAGTGCTTGTGGGACTGTGAAATAAGCTACAATGGGAGGAATGAAACTTGCTAGTGGTACCCCTGAGGTAAAGAAAGTGAGAAACACCATAAATGTGAAGAAGGAAATAATACCGAAGTGGAATGATGTCCAAATGTTGTGGAGAAGTACCACCCTGAGCAAGCTGAAACAAGCCATCTTTGCAACAAGTTCAGTGACAGAACCATGTCCCATTTTAGGGAAATCTTAAAGAGGGCACCAGAAACAGAGGACTGTGACAGTTATTTTGTGAGACAGGGGTCCAGTGACTCTCAAGCTGGTCCTAGTGGCATTAAAAGAGAAGGGAAGTAACCCCAGAGAGGGCTTCGATACCTGAAGTCCTCATGGAGGGGGATTCTCCTTCCAAACACTAACCCCAACTCCCTCTCTCCTCTCTATCTTCCAGATGCCATCACCAAACTTCAATAAAGGTAAGTAAAATGTTATTTTATATGTTTATTTAAATTTATTAATATATAATTGAACACTATATTTGTTGTGTGCATGTAAAACTATAATTAATCTCTATAAAATGTATTTTTTTTGTGAATATTTTTGGGTTTCTGGAATGGATTAATTGTATTTCCATTATTTCTTATGGGAAACATTGCTTCGCTTTTCAGACTTTTCTAATTTAGAACGAACTCCTGGAACGGATTAAGTTCGATATTTGAGGTTCCACTGTACAAGAAACTGCCCGTTTACCTATTTCAACTACCAAATAAAGCAGTCAGAATTTGGTAATTAGGCCAATTTCACATAAAATTTAAAAATTGCCAATTTAAAAATAGGGACCAGAATAAACAATATAGACATTCCTGGCACTAAAAAACATTTCCTCTGTTCATTAGTTATGTCCCCAGACCTCTCCTATATTATGCTTGCTTTCCATTTTGAGTTTTTGTTCACACAAAAAATAGATTTACTGCTATGCAGACTACTTGAAGGTGAATGTCATCTTAATCCTTTCAGGGTCAAGAGGCCCTCTCCTAAACTTGTTCTCAGGGACGAAAATTTTTCGGAAAAAAAAAAAAAAAATGTTTTTCTTATGAAATGATAGAGAATCTTTTTCCAATCATAATGACACCAAAAGTATGAAATTTGATGGAAAACTTATGGAATTATGCTCTCACGAAGTTAGCGGCTCGACGATGTTTATGCATCAGCGATTTTGCCCACTTGGAGCCCTATTTTCGGCCAATTCCAATGTACCAGTCGACAAAAATCATAACTATTTCGCCAGAACTCCACTTTTTATATTGAGTGAGTACAAGAAATCATCCATTTACAGATTTTGACTATCCAATAAAGTGGTCAGAAATTGGCAATTTTGCCAACTGACACAAATTTCAAAAGATGCCAATTTCCAAATAGGGTCCAGAATAAACAAGACAGACATTCCTGGCACTAAAATAACATTTTCTCTGTTCATTAGTCATGTCCCCACGCCCCTCTTACATTTCTTTTGCTTTCCACTTTGAATTTTTATTCTCACAAAAAAATAGATTTACTGTTATGCTGACTACTGCATTAGTGTTGAAATGGTATAAATAATATCAGCGCACTTGTGAAAGAATATCAGACTCACCAGGTGATGTGTATTGGAAACATGGCATGATTTGTTTACTTTTGAACTTTGGCAAAAATCGAACATCTCTGCTACTTTGAGCTCTATATTAAGGTACTTTTCATAATGAAAACCAATCAAAATCATCTCAATTTCTGTAATATGTCTTCCATTCTATAAAATGAGACCAGGAAAACTAGAATACAACCATAAATACCATACGAAAATACACTGCAAAATCGCTGTTTTAAACCAAAAACACGGTCGGAGTTTTTTTTTTCTCATTATGCACTGTGTGCTGCAGGATTTTTTTTATACTATGCACACTGACTACATAGACCCATTCTTTCATATGTAGGCCTACCAGCTTTCTCTCACTAGATTTGAAGGCACTAGAATTTATGTGTACTAGTATGGCACCAACCCTGGTGTGCAAGCTGTACTAGTATGGCACCAGCCCTGAAAGGGTTAAATCATCGTAAATTTACTTTGCATGCTCACAGATATATCTTGCAGGCACTGTATCTCCCTTCGTCTGCTTCTCTCCTATCTCCTATCTTTTTGTTTGATAATAGTCGAGATGACTCATTGTGATAAGACATACTCACACACCAATACACTAAATTCAAACCCCTTCATCATGTTTTTTCACAATTTCTTGCCTGATCCTCAAAGAAATTGCCTGCTTACTATGCACTTTAGGACCATGACGACTTGCTAACACAAAAGATGGCATAAATAAAATAACAAATGCAGCCACAAAGGATAAATAATTCAGAGTTAGTACAGGTAATACATATGTTAGCTTCAAGCTAAAGTAGAAATAATAAACTGTTGTACACAAGCTGCTACTGGCTGAGATGCTGAGTGGCTGCTAAGCCACTCCCACACCACACCCCCAATGATGCTCCTGTTGGCTCAGACACCACCCAAGAGAAAAGTATTTGCACTGCTGGGTGGCTGAGGCCCACACATGTATGCCGACCATCGTACACATATTGTATATCAAATTTAGTGTGGCAACTAAAACTAAATTTCTCTACAAGGTTAATTCATAACTCAAAATTATTGTAACTCAAGGGACCACTGTATATAAGTGGTGTAATTCCATTTAGTAATTTTGAAGTCTAATAATAAAAGAAAAATAGAGTTCAATAATGGCACAAGGTTGCTATAAAACCAATATTACAAGGAAGGTTTGTTTAACAAAAAATTAGCAAAACTTTAAGCCATTTTTCCTTATGGAGGATGACTAGTTAGAACAGCTTTACTCAAAGAAACTTCTATCAATTTACAATATGTATTGTTAGTTATTTACCTTTAAGGTCACGGTGCAAAATCTTGTTATCGTGAAGGTATGCCAGCCCGGCCAGTACCTGTTTGGTGTACTTCAAGATGACATGTTCAGAGAAGGTACCATACTTGTCCAGCATGGTTGCTACTGAGCCACCAGCCATCCACTCAGTGAAAACTGAGAAAGATGTTGAATGTCTAGAGGCACCCAAGAGCCGCACAATATTGGAATGACGTAAACGAGACATAATAAGGATTTCTTCTTCGACTGATGCTTCCACTCTTTCTTGCTCCTCCTCATTGTTTCGACAGAATGAGACCTGCTTGACAGCCATCAAAGTGCCAGTCTGCACATCACGAGCTTGATAACACGAGGAGAATGCACCTGTGCCCAACAGAGGTCCTCGCACCCAATCCCTGCCCTCCTCATACTGTCCACCCTCCACATTCTGAAAACAGTTACACAATTAGTAAAATGCACATACATATTTAACAAAATTCTTGAATATTATAGCCAAAATGTCTTCAGGTAACTATGTACTATTTTATATAAAATAATTTACAGTGGTACCTTGGGATACGAACTTAATTCGTTCCAAAAGGCTGTTCGAGTGTCAATACTGAATGAATTTGTTCCCATAAGGAATAATGTAAATTAGATTAATCTGTTTCAGACCCCCAAAAATACGCTTACAAAAGCACTTACATAAATACACTTACATAACTGTTCGAGTTTTGAGCTGTTCGTATCCCGAGGTACCACTGTATATATGGTATAGCATATGAGTATCTAAAATGTATTTATTCTCATCCAAGTCGTACTACTAAATAAGTTTCATAAAGTACATAATACTCATTAACCTTAATAATTCCACAGTAAAGAAGACTGATAAGTTTATGTTCATACCTGCTCGTAAGGGTGTAGGGATTCATCAAGGTGGGCCGGAAGAAGGTCGAGGCCTGGGATAATTGGTAGCGGAGCCTCATGTACTGTCCAAGGATCTTTGCTTTCTTGTGCACTACCTTCACTTTGAAATAGTGATGGAGGACTCTCTTGAACTGGTGTACAGTGTGGTACAGTGGGAGTGGCAGGAGTACTCACTACATCTTTGAAGGAGAACTGTGGTGGTGCTACAGACCCTAGAGGTGTCTGAGGAGACACATCTAGAGCATCACTATGGCTCTGTGACAGTCCACCTTTGCTGAGAACACCACCGATTTTTATGGGACTCCATCGCTGATGTCGTTGTATAGGTGACACCAATAAATTTTGTACAATGAAGGGGACATCATTCTTCGGCCTTGTTTTGTGATAGAGACGTAATTTTGCTTGCTTTTCTTTAAATTTGGCTTCAAAACAATCTAATGGCAGATGAGTAGGTCTAGGTGGAGAGGAAGTAGGTCCGGCTGAGCTTTTATTTGTTCTTTCCACATCTTTCTTTAGAGTTGCTGAGATTACAGGTTGACGTGCAGGTGACTGTGAAGATGATCTCAAAGCTGATAACATTCTTGATGGTGAATGAGAAACCGAACGCACAAGTCGTGGTCCAGCAGTGTCACCAAGATCCCACGTACCTAGACTCAACTTCCCCTCCAAGCGTGCAAGAGTGGCTTTCCTGTCACTGTGTTGGCCCTGCATGGAACGTAGTCGTCGTTTGAGACGCATCTGTAATGACACATCCAACTTTGCAAGCATGTCACAAACTTGGTGGAATACTGCAGGTTCAGCTGCAGCAAACCTTGCTCCACATATATACACACGGCGTGCTAACTTACTAACAGTTGCATGGCTACTCCCCAAGGCCTTAAAGGCAAACTCTACTACAGTCATTAAACGGTCATAGTTTTGAAGTTTGTAACCAGACTCTGCTGGCTGAAGTGGCACATACTGCAACTGAAATTCCGATGGGAACTCATCAACAAGGCGGTCAAGTACACAGAGGCGCCCAAGGAGCCACTGCCATGGAGCCTCTGAAGGAGGAGTGTCTTCCAAAATGCAAGAGAGAATAAAAGAGATGCCTCCAAGACCAGGGGTGGAAGCCGACACCTGAGTAGCTAATGCCAGTTCCCCATCCTGACCACGACAGAGCTCCAATATTGAATCCACACTAATCTGTGATGTACGTCTGTTGCCATCAGCACACTTCAGAAGTAATGTGTGGACAAGCGGACGGAACAACTCTTGAAGCGCTGTCACTTGGCTTCCAGATGAAGGACTAAGGTGAGATAACAACACTCTCAAACACCGCAAACATGCCAGGTACACTTTGTAAACAGGATCATTCGCCACCTGGGCGAGAATATTAGCACAACAATGGATTACTTGGCGCCTTTTCTCCTCAGCTGTTACCAGTCTGTCCCAATGTAACACTTTAACCACCTGTAAGATAAAATATATAATACTTTTAGTTCAAATATACCTAAATATATCTACCTGTACTTTCAGTTTGCCATTTAGAAAAGAAAACAAGTGAAATCTTTTTCAAATCAATAATAAATGTTATGAAGTAAGAAAACAGCTTAAGATAATGTTGCATGAGGACACAGCAAAACTCTTTTTACCTTAGTACTGTAAACAGTATATAAAAAGCTAAACCATTTCCCTTATACTTACTTCATGTGCAAGTCTCCTCAGACCAGTTTCTCTCACAGCCCAGTCACGTGAGAAAAGACATGATACAAGTTCTTTGCCGAAGACATGAACCCAGCCAGCAGCAGTTGACTCATGCTCTGCGGGTATAGGCTCACTTCTGGGTAGTGGCACTGGCTCCTCAGAGGCACTCACTACAATGGCTGCTGACACCTCCCCTGTTATATGTGATCAAATTGTGAAAACTGAAAATTTAAAAGTTTAAACAAAGCAACAGTATCCAGGTAAACTTTGAAATTGAAAATAAATACAGGTTTCCCTCGCTCTATTCAAATTTACTGTTTGAATTCGCTTATATTTTGGGACCCAATTTCTACCAGGAATTCACTATAAACGATAAAAATTCAATTATACAAATGGAGTGGTTGGTCAAGGTTAACTTTTTGCTCGTATGTGATCACTCAGGCCCGGCACCACTTGGTATATTAACAATATTATTCTAAACTAGCTTTTATGAATGGTATACAATACAGACAAAATGAAGAATTAGATACATGTGCAACATCTCGGTATCTTTAATTTGTAGACTTTTTGCCATCTAGGATGGCAAAACATCCACAAATTGAAGATACCTAGATGTTGCACATGTGTTTAATTGAACTCTAAACTAGTTTACTTAATAGAAAAAAAAAACAGATTTGGGCACGGTAAATCTGATGAGCCTATTCAAAATTAAATCTTATGGTTGGTTTTCAATTTAAATATTTTGTGCCTAAAAAATGGAAACTGAGCCTGACAGCTTTTAACAATATCTCCAAATATGACTTTTAACTAGTTTATTTTGAAAATAATGAGTATATTTTTACTGAAATCCTATGTTTGGTGTTCAACTGTGGTGTCTTGTGCCAAGACAAAACCAAGGGAACATCTGACTAGAAGTTGTCTTTGACACAAAATTGTCACTAGGGGTGGACCAGAGGGAGGACCCTACATTCACAGGTTCATAACAGCTACACTTCAATGCAGAGACAGGCTGCCAGCTTGGTGGTGGAGGGAGGGTGAGACAGAAGAGGACAATGATTGAACTTTTTATTTTTTCCTTGTTTGTTTTTCAACCAGTTGCATTTATTTTTGTTATATGACTGTTCGGTGTTTATCTGATGTGCTCATAATTTTCTGGTAAAAATGAGTAAATAAATGTGGATTTTTTTAATGATTTATTGTTTATGGATTATGATTGAAAATTTTATTTTATTTTTATCAGTCTCTTACCAACTTTATATCTTTTATCTATACTATATGACCATTTATTACATGTGTGGTAAGTTCATATTATTTTGGAATTTGCAAAGTCTAAGAATGCACATTAATCTTTTTTGGGGTATGATTGGTATGCTTTATTAGAATTCATTTTAGGCACCATCAGATTTTGTATTTATTGATTTTGTATTTATTGAAAGAGTTAAATAGTTTAGGAGAATAATCAGAGTAGACAAGTAATGGAAAATAAGGAAGAATTGTAATTAGACATAAAACATGGTATGCAATAATCATCTACATATTTTCAATTCGTTTGTATTAACTTTCATTATTATAATTATGTGACATGAAAAGTATCAACCTGAGAAAGTGTTCACACCTCTAACAGTTGGTGGATACAGTGATCCACCTGCAGGTGAGGAGTAGGCTGAGTCTGTGTATGGTGACTGGGTGTAGGGGTAACCTGATAAGGAACGCGACATTAATGCAGAACCAGTTGGACTCTGTCGTCCGCTGCTGCAAACTCCTGAAAATATCATACAGGTACCTTTAATAATAATATTAATGCAGTAATAATAATAGTAGTAGTAATAATAATAATGTAATATTCACACACATTTTTTCATTGTATAATTGTATATTTCACAGTATTATCACTAGAGCATTTGCTACTGGTAAAGTTACCCGGTCATACTGACCTGAGAAACTGGCACTCATCAGTGGGTAGGCATAGTCAGGTGCCAGGGGCTGGGACCAGGCAGCTGAAGGAGAGGTAGAATGTACAGATGTGCTGCCTGGTGTGGGTGTGAGGCGAGGGTGGTGTTTGAGAGGCCAAGGTGCCCGACACAGAGGACACAGGAGGGGCTGGCCCTGGGCATTTCGATCAGCAGCCCAGACAGCCATGCAGTGGTGATGTAGCAGGTTACGACACCCAGCCTCACACATTACCAGGCTCTCTCCTTCCACCATACACATTAGGCAGATTGGACACTGAGAGTCGTCATCACTGTAAGAATCAGACACCAAAAATATTAAAGTAAAAATCAGATATCTGAGGTATGTGACTATATTACTGTATGCATGTTAGAATATACTGCTGCATATGTAAGCAACAAAATAAAATAATTACAGCCTCTCCTCACTTAACGACGGAGTTCTGTTCCTGAGACCACGTTGTTCATCGCTAAGTGAGGAGCATACTATAATGGTAGTGGGTTTGTGTCAACCATCTTTGATATTGTTTTAATGTCACTTCTGCACCATTTATAACATTTCTGGTATATTTTTAAATGTTTGGCATGTCAGGCATGCATACTGGTCAGAGAGCCCATCGTAAATCCAAGGCATTGTTGAACGAGAACGTCACTAAGTGAGGAGAGGCTGTAATTCTGAACTGTTTAATCTACAAACATAAGTTTCAAGTTTTGCATGGTACCTTAACATGCACAATTTTTACTGGTTTTCTTTAAATTACAGATTTAAAAATGCACAAGTTTAAAAATGACATCGATGAACCTGTGTGGTATAAATTCAATTGAATGTCATGACAACCAATGCTAGTATACACCTACCATCCGACTTACGACCGAGTTCGGTTCCAAGAAACCGGTCGTAAGTCGAAATGGTCGTAAGTTGAACTTTACTACTGAATATCAACAAAACATTTTTGTAATGACTTTATTTTATTGTTTTATTTTGGTATTTCATGTTTTACTTTACTTTTTATGTTGTTAGTACTGTATTTTATACTGTAAGGTTTAGGATAAACACTGTGTACAACACAAATAGTTGTTTATTTCCCAGAAATTTGGCATAAAAAACACAGTTGTAAGTTGAGTGGTCGTAAGTCGAGCAGGTCGTTAGTCGGATGGTAGGTGTACTTCTATTTACATCACTGAACCCTTCATTACTCTGAAACATGTATTCACATCACCTCGCTGGAACACTTCATCTACTAAACGTCTCTCTGTGGTCAACAGTGTCTGTACATGTCAACAGTGCTCAATGACCCATACAGATTTACTTTTACTTTTCTAATATAATGGATAACTAAAGTGTAATGAACACTTGTCAGTCCTCAATGATAAGCCACATGGAGACACAAGCTCAGAAGATTAATTGATATGTATATTTTAATCCCCTTTTAGGATCATCATCAGAAGAGGATTGAAATACACAGATCAATTAATCTTCTGAGGTTCTAATACAATAATACATACAAAAAACATAATAATTAGGTAGTAGGTTGGCAGACATCAACCACCCAGGGAGGCACTACCATCCTGCCAAGCGAGTGTAAAACAGAAACCTGTGGCTGCTGTACATGATGGTAGGATTTCTGGTGTCTTTTTTCTGTCTCATAAACAGGCACATCTTGCTACTTCTACTTACACTTAGGTCACACTACACATACATGTAAAGAAATATATATACACACCCCTCTGGGTTTTCTTCTACTGTATTTTCTTATAGTTCTTGTTCTTGTTTATTTCCTCTTATCCCCATGGGGAAGTGGGATAGAATTCTTCCTCCGTAAACCATGTGTGTCGTAGGAGGCGACTAAAATGCCGGGAGCAAGGGGCTAGTAACCTCTTCTCCTGTACACATTACTAAATTTAAAAAGAGAAACTTTCGTTTTTCTTTTTAAGTCACTCTACCTTGTTGGGATATGACTGGTTTGTTGAATAAATGAACATAAAAATAAATAAACATTAAAATAAACAGTGATTATGTGTGAGTGAGGTGAAAGTGTTGAATGATGATGAAAGTACATATTTTCTTTTTGGGGATTTTCTTTCTTTTTGGGTCACCCTGCTTTGGTGGGAGACGGCCAACTTGTTAAAAAAAAAAAATAATAATAATCATGATAAATCAAATTACTGCATACACACATAGGAGACACACTCATAATGATGTTTTGGTCCAACTTGGACCATTAGCTAGTCACACATAAGTGCAAAGAGAAGGGAGCCAGCATATACATGAGAGGGAGGAAGGGGGGCAGGAAAAGTAGAAGGGGAGGAGGAAATAATATTGCAGCAACAACAGCAGTAATGCAACAGTAATGGAGGTAGCAATAAGAAAGTAGTAGTGGTAGTGAAAAAAAAAAGGGTGCAGAGAGTGGAGTGTTAGCAAAGAAATAGTAATAGCAACAGAATAACAGTGAAGGTAATCTATAAGAACAAGTGAACAGAGAAGCACTGCAGGGGAGCTAATGGCCCATGGTGGTAGGACAAAATCCTCTGTGGGGCAAAAACCCCATAGGACAGAACCCACTTAGGCAGAAGACAGGAATGGCAATGAGAATATAGAAAAGGTATGAAGAGGTAAGGTGAGAAGGAGATAAAGATCAGATCAAGTCATGAGTGTTCTGAAGTTTGGATCATTTGACAATGTAATGATGTCATACAGTGAATTCGTTGACACATTAGGGAGGCACTGAGAAATACACAACTGCTCTGCCTGTGGTTTACTGGTAAAAGTTTGTGATGTCTGCCAGGCATAATCCTATGGGGTCTGTGTCTACATCCCAACTGACTATGCCCGCAGATGAAGCCGGGGTTTGAACTCATACAGGTCAGGGTTGTGACTTTTCAGTGACTCTAGGTAACTGTCACATTCCTATATTGTGACACTGGTAATGGTCTCCTACTACTGACAATGAGAATGGAAGGTATCAACAGGGACAAGCCTGTATGACCACAAAGACTCTGCACATTTTGGTGACCACAATATTTTTGTATAAACAAATTTTTATAGTTAAGAAAATAAATTTTTCTCAAACCAAAGAATATATACAACTTATAAAATTTAAACTAAAATGAACATTCTCTCTCATTTTCTCATGCCAAACATTATTATTTCTTATTTTCTCATTGAAAGTAATCAGTGTTTGACTAAGTTAATATGGAAAATTTTCTTCTTTTGTTTTCTTATTTAGTATCATAATATACCAATAGCTGAACAAACTCCCAAGTACCGTTATAGAGGCCAGAACGTTGTGTAGCTTTAAAAATAGGTTGGATAAATACATGAGTAGATGTGGGTGGGTGTGAGTTAGACCTGATAGCTTGTGCTAACAGGTCGGTTGCCGTGTTCCTCCCTTAAGTCAATGTGACCTGACCTGACTAGGTTGGGTGCTTTGGCTTAAGCCGGTAGGAGACTTGGACCTGCCTCGCATGGGCCAGTAGGCCTTCTGCAGTGTTCCTTCGTTCTTATGTTCTTATGTTCAACTGAGTGCCTAGGTGAAGGTGCAATCCAAGTACCTACGTGAGTATGCAACTTGGAATGAATTGAGTACCTATGTGGGTATGTAACTGGTCAAACCAGACAAATGTTAACTTTATTTGCCAGGAAAACTTGTCACGTGATTGTGACGTGTCACAATCACATGACAATTAGCGCAGGCAGGTGCCTTTGATAGGATCCGAGAGTTTATCTACTCCTGGCGCCCGGCCATAGGCCAGGCTCATCTGATGTTTGCCTGGTTAACCAGACTGTTGCTGCTGGTGGTCTGCCAACCCACATATCCATCACAGCCTGGTTGATCTGGCACCTGGTGAAAATATTTGTCCAGTTTCCTCTTGAAGACTTCTTGTCCCAGCAGTGTTTCTGATATTTTCTGGCAAGATATTAGATAATCTGAGGCCCCAGATATTGATACAGTGTTCTCTTATTATACCTACTACACCCCTTCTTTTCAATGGGGGGTTTATTTTGTACTTCCTTCCTTATCTCTCACTCCAGGTATAAATTATCAATCATTCTCTTTCCTTCGCTCCAGTGAGAACATAATTAAGACTTTTAAGGCAAAGTGACTGGTATTCACTACAGTGCTTGGTCACTATGACTGGTATTCACTACAGTGCTTGGTCACTATGACTGGTATTCACTACAGTGCTTGGTCACTATGACTGGTATTCACTACAGTGCTTGGTTACTATGACTGGTATTCACTACAGTGCTTGGTCACTATGACTGGTATTCACTACAGTGCTTGGTCATATGACTGGTATTCACTACAGTGCTTGGTCACTATGACTGGTATTCACTACAGTGCTTGGCCACTATGGCTGGTATTCACTACAGTGCTTGGTCACTATGTGACATCCTCTCTCCTATCTGCTGTTGTTCCTTCCTCATCATCATCACCACTACTCTCTCTCACTTACTCACTCACTTAGTAGAAGCACACTGCGTTGAATGTGTCAATACAAAAGCATTAGAAGAGTAGTTTCTTACCTTTCAGAGTTATGTACAAGTAACCTTACAAGGTAGGCTTCTCAATACAGAAAAGTTTAAATTTTTTATACATTTTGGTTACACTTTGAACTTACCTACTAGCTGAATCAGGATGAGACGAAGGTGGACCAGTAGGTGTCGAGGGACTTGATCGGACGCCTTTACCTCCAGCTGGTTGTTCTCCAACCACACCACTCCCCCCACTCTGACGTTGCTCTCGTGCTCTAACTGCCTTCTTTAGCCGTTCTTCATATGCTCCCATTAGCTGCTCAATCTGGAAATTTTATAAAAATATTACAAAAAGTGCTCTTCAGTGACCTCAAATGTCTAACTTGCACAAGCCATCTCATACCATTTTTTTAAAATACTACAAACATTTAATCATAAGACCATGTACTGAAAAAAAAAATTTTAAAATACACTTGACATCATGGTATGTATAAGCAAATATAAGTATGAAAAGATAACGCAGAGATCAAGGTGTTACAGTGAAGCACATGAACCACTGTGCCGTATCAAAACAAATATTTTATTTCAAAGTGTTTAATGCAAATTTTGTATAAAAACATAATAAAGCAATCCTCTCTTAACAAGGGTTCAATATCTTGTAACTGGATTCAGATCTATTACAACTGAATAGTGAGGATGCACATCTGCTATGCAATGCCTTGGATGCAAAATATGACAACTGTTGCAGTAGCTCATATTGGCCAAGGCTTCTGTTGAATGAGAAAACAAACACAATGTAAGGTTTGCACTCTAGAGAGGAGTGTAAAATTCCTTTGAATTCAATGCTTGTGTTTTGAAATGCCAAAGTAAATTTGCTTTCAACATAAACTTGTTCCTTTGCCCTACAATTTGCGATATCTAAATTCATGTATTCCCAGTGATTTCTAGCAAATTATTTCTAAGATTCGTTGGCACTTTACAAGGTAAATTTTTGTTTGTTTGTTTGAAACCCAATGCAGACATTTATTGTAAATGTGCTTAGTAAATTTCCCACACTCCACACTCAAATCTCCTCTTTCCATTTATGACATTCAATATTAACCCTATCACTGTCCATGTGTTTAGATCTATGTTCCTTACATATACCTTTGAAGAGTTTCGAGAGTTTATCTACATTTGGAGCTCAGGTCTCTCATATATGTTGTGAGCAGAATGGGTCTGTGTGGCAAGTATGCATAGAATAAAAAAAATCCTGCCCCACATGGTGCATGATGGGAAAAGTAAGCTTCTGACCTTGTGTTTGGTTTAAAATAGCAAATCTGAGGTGTTTTCTTGGATTATTTTTATGGTTTTATTGGCTGTTTCTTCATATTAATTGGTAGAATGGAAAGCAGAGATGATTTTGTTGGTTTCAGGAGCTCAGGTAGCTTGAAAGCTGCTCAAATACAGCCTCTCCTCACTTAATGATGGAGTTCCATTCCTAAGACGATGCCAGTAAACAAATTCATTGTGCTAAGCAAGGAGCATAATATAATGGTAGTGGGTTTGTGTCAACCATTTTTGATATTGTTTTAATGTCACCTTTGCACCATTTATAATATTTTTAGTATATTTTTAAATGTTTATACAGTAGTGTACTGTATATTGTAATATACAGAATAGAGGAAATCAGCTCTAATATACATTATTTAGGTATGAATGCTGGTGAGAGAGCCCATCATAAATTACCATAGCAGTGACCTCCATCGAAGACACCGCAAGACTTCAAGCGGACATCAACCAAATCTTCGAATGGGCCACTCAAAATAATATAAAGTTCAACGAGGATAAATTTCAACCACTCAGATATGGGAAACTCGAAGAAATTAAAAATGTATCAGGGTATATGACAAATTCTAACCATACAATAGAGCAGAAAAGTAATGTGAAGGACCTGGGAGTGATAATGCCAGAGGATCTTGTCTTCAAAGACCACAACAATGTATCTACCTCATCTGCTAGGAAAATGATAGGATGGATAATGAGAACCTTCAAAACTAGGGACGCCAAGCCCACGATGATTCTCTTCAAATCGCCTGTGCTCTCTAGGCTGAAATACTGCTGTACACTAATGGCCTCTTCAAGGCTGGCGACACTGCAGACCTGGAGAGTGTACAAAGAGCTTTCACAGCACACACAAGTATGATAAGGCACCTAAACTACTGGGAACATTTGAAGGTCCTTGATCTGTATTCCCTGGAATGCAGACGAGAGAGATACATAATAATATACACTTGGAAGGTCCTGGAGGTATTGGCGCCAAACCTGCACATGAAATGCACTCCTTACGAAAGCAAAAGTCTCGGCAAAAGATGCAACATTCCTCCGATGAAAAGCAGGGGCACCACGAGTACATTGAGACAATACATTATGTGTCCATGGCCCCCGACTGTTCAATTGCTTCCCAGCATACATAAGGGGGATTACCAATAGACCCCTGGCTGTCTTCAAGAAGGCACTGGACAGGCACCTAAAGTCAGTACCTGACTAACCAGGCTGTGATTCGTACGTCAGCTTGCATGGGGCCAGCAGCAACAGCCTGGTTGGTCACCCCCTGATCCACCATGAGGCCTGGTCTCAGACCGGGCCGTGGGGGCATTGACCCCCCGAAACCCTCTCCAGGTAAATTCCAGGTAAGTCCGAGTCATCAGTGAACGAGTATGTTGTAAAGTGAGGAGAGGCTGTAGCAGAAATACTGTATTCTATTTTTTGACGACTTTCCTGAGGATGGATAAGGCCCCCCCCTTATATACCCCCAGGTCTGTTTTATGGGTTTTTAATAAGTCCAATACAAGTACTGGGATGCTGTAAACCATGACCAATCATTCCTGGTTATATTTTATTATCTGAGAAATAGAAAAAATCTTAACTTTTTGTGTAGCTTTGATGAGTTTCTAGAGTTTTTCTACTACTGGAGGACAAATGGAGAGGCCTGAGGATGTGATTAATGAACAGAGGAAATGTTGCTTTAGTGTCTGGAATGTTTACAGTATTTATTTGGGACTTTCTTTTTTAAACTGGATTCTTTTTAATTTTGTGCAAAATTGGCCAAATTACAAAATTCTGTGTATTTTATAGGATAATTATAATATGAGGCAAGAATAAAGGAGTCATTAGGTTGCTTTGGACCTATTTGGATCTATCTGGTTGCTATGGGTGGTTTCTTGTGCTTAATCAATAGAACAGAAGAATATTAGTATAATAGCTAAGATTTTGGACAAATTGGCTTAAAATACGACTCAAATTAGGCAAAATAATCTAGACCACTAACTTTGCACCTGTGTAATTCCATCATTTTTTTTATTTTTGGTGCCATTACTTTCAGAGAAAGATTCTCTACTGTTTCAAAAGAAAAAATATTAATTTCGGGGCTTCTGACAGTGAAGAGGTTTATGAGGTTTAAGCAACATTTAAAGCAATGTCACCTCTAACAACCTACCCAAAATCTGAAGAAAAAATATAATATACAAACAGCATTTAGTGGTATTTACAATTTCTGAATTTTTTAGAATGTCTCTTCATTTGATGCTGTAGATGTGTTCCAGGCCCATGGCAGCAGCACAATGCTCAGCCTGGTCGTAAAACTATATTTCTATATAGCAGGAATTTTCAATAATCTTGGCGAACCACACCAATCACAATCAGGAAATATATATCGCATATACAGAATTATCATTACAAAGAAGAACAGGCATAATAGTGAATTAATTTAAAGTAAATCAGCATACAATGAGGGAAACATATGTTAAGGAGTGTATAAACACAAATTTAAAAGGAGCATGATGCAATACTATACATATTACGTTTTACCCCAGCCACGGTGGCCCGTGGCCTGGTGGCAAAAGCTCTTGTTTCACACGCTGAGGGTCTGGGTTCAATTCCCGACAAGGGTGGAAACACTGGCATGTTTCTTTACACTGGTTGTCCACATTCACCCGTAAGTAAAACAATGGGTAACTGGGTCTTAGTCGACTGGTGTAGGTCGCATCATGGTTCAAAACTGACCTAATTTGCCCAAAATGCTCTACATGACAAGGGGCTTTCTATACAGTAGTATGTCATTGATGTCAGCTTGGCCTGTAAACCTTGTACAAGTAACTGTAGATATATAGATGTATTATATTAAAAGGGAATTTAGTGATAAGGATTGTGGCAATGCAAAGGCTACAAAGATCATCATTATTATTGTAATCATGGAGAAGTACTAAACCTGCAGGAGTCATACAAGGCCTGTGGAATAGGAGGCAATCACATTTGATCTGAAGAAGAGAAACTTACCCTTAACCCTTTCAGGGTTGACAGGCCCTCTCCCAGACTTGTTCTCAGAGTCGACAAATTTTCAAAAAAAAAAAAAAATTATTTTTTCTTATGAAAAGATAGAGAATCTTTTCCCGATCATAATGACACCAAAAGTATGAAATTTGATGGAAAACTTATGGAATTATGCTCTTGCGAAGTTAGCGGTCTCGACGATGTTTACACATCGGCGATTTTGCCCACTTTGAGCCCTATTTTCGGCCAATTCCAGCGTACTAGTCAACAAAAATCATAAATATTTTGCTAGGACTTCATTTTTTCTATCGAATGAGTACAAGAAACCGCCCATTTGCTGATTTCAACTATCCAATAAAGTGGTCAGAATTTAGCAATTTTGCCAATTTCACACAAATTTCAAAAGATGCCAATTTCCAAATAGAGTCCAGAATAAACAAGAAAGACATTCCTGGCACTAAAATAACATTTCCTCTGCACATTAGTCACGTCCCCAGGCCCTCTTACATTCTTTTGCTTTCCGCTTTGAATTTTTATTCTCACAAAAAATAGAAGATTTACTGTTATGCAGACTACTGCATTAGTGTAGAAATGATATAAATAATATCAGTGCACTTGTGAAAGAATATCAGACTCAACAGGTGATGTGTATTGGACACATGGCATTATTTGTTTACTTTTGAACTTTGGCAAAAATCGAAGATTTCTGCTAATTTGAGCTCAATTTCAAGGTACTTTTCATTGTAAAACCAATCAAAATCATCTCAATTTCTGTAATATGTCTTCCATTCTATAAAATGAGACCAGGAAAACTAGAATACCATCATAAATAACATACGAAAATATGTACAGTGCAAAGTCGCTGTTTTAAACCAAAAAAACTCAGTTTTTTTTTCTCATTACGCACTGTGTGCTGCAGGATTTTTTTTATTCTGCACACGCTGACCACATAGACCCATTCTTTCATATGTAAGCCTACCAGCTTTCTCTCACTAGATTTGAGGGCACTAGAAT